CCCTTTTAACAGGAAGAAACCTCCAGCAGAACCAGGCTCAGGGAGGGGCGGGGCCATCTGCTGTGATTGGTTGGGGTGAGAGAAGGAAGACAGGATAAAGACATGCTGTGGAAGAGAGACAGAGATTAATAACAGATATGATTCAATGCAGAGAGGTCTGTTAATACATAGTGAGTGAGAAAGGTGACTGGAAAGGAAAAACTCAGTGCATCATGGGAATCCCCGGCAGTCTATTGCAGCATAACTAAGGGAGGATTCAGGGTCACCTGGTCCAGCCCTAACTATATGCTTTAGCAAAAAGGAAAGTTTGAAGCCTAATCTTGAAAGTAGAGATAGTGTCTGTCTCCTGAATCCAAACTGGAAGCTGGTTCCACAGAAGAGGGGCCTGAAAACTGAAGGCTCTGCCTCCCATTCTACTTTTAAATACTCTAGGAACAACAAGTAGGTCTGCAGAGCGAGAGCGAAGTGCTCTAATAGGGTGATATGGTACTACAAGGTCATTAAGATAAGATGGGGCCTGATTATTTAAGACCTTGTATGTGAGGAGCAGGATTTTGAATTCTGGATTTAACAGGAAGCCAAAACAGGAGAAATCTGCTCTCTCTTTCTAGTCCCTGTCAGCACTCTTGCTGCAGCATTTTGGATTAGCTGAAGGCTTTTCAGGGAGTTTTAGGACTTCCTGATAATAATGAATTACAGTCGTCCAGCCTGGAAGTAATAAATGCATGAACTAGTTTTTCAGCGTCAGTCTGAGACAGGATATTTCTAACTTTAGAGATGTTGCACAAATGGAAGTAAATAAATTGTTGTAAATAAATAACTTTATTTTGGTATCTTAATAAAAACTAATTTGCTTTTCTGTTATATGCAATCAATAAACAAATTGAAAAGAAATCACCCACAAATCCTCATGTGGAAATAATTTTTTTGTCACCATAACTGAAAGAATTTTCTCTCCCTGTTCTTCCACCTGTTGCTGCTTTGTTACTAAACTCACTGAAAACAGGCTAATTCTGAGATAATAAAACAGGAAGTGGCGATTTTTCCCACCTCACGGTCTGTCGGGGTCACTGATAGCAGGGTGACTGCTGAACTGCCACTGTAACAAGCTAATGATGAGTGGGCGTGGTGCTGAAGACTGATAAACGTCTCAGCCTATCAGACGGTCCCCAGAGAGACCACAATAACAACAGTACAACTCAACAGGTCCCAGAGGAGCAGAGGGGCGTGTTTCAATTAGAGAAAGCTGAGTATATGTGTGTGTGTTTGTGAGATGCTGGCTTATCCTCGGTTCCCACCTTAGTCTCTCTGTTTTCACACAGTTTATCTGATCAGGTGTCAATAAATCTGCTGAAGACCGTCACTAATTTTAGCTAAATCAACCTGCAGTTATTGTTCACCTGTTAGAAATATGGCTGCACCTCCAGTTTCCAGCAGACACTGTGATAGTGGGAAACATGACATCAGAACAGCCAACTAAATAGACAGATGTAAGATTATTGTTCTGAGCATCAAGGGGCAGTTTCAGAGCCAGATCGAGCTGGATCAAAGGTTTCTAAGAGGGCGGAGCATGGAGCCCAAAAACACTTCATGGATCCAAAGCAGGATCCGGAGGATAAAGGTGACATCATCAGAAGTCCAATACATCAAGTTGTGTTAGCTGAGAGATTAAAAAACCAAGACCCAACTGGCTGACACGCAGTGCTCACTAACTGCTTACTCAAATGTACTCGATTGAAGGATCATCAGCAAGTGTGAACACATGTATAAAACCAGATGTTGACACTTTGCTGGCCTGCAATGCTCAGAGAAACTGCAGAAAACGGATGCATCTCAGACTCAAAACTGTGTCTGAACAAACCACAAGACTTCTGGAATAATGTCCTTTGCAAAGATGAGGCCAAAGTGCAGAGGACCAAGTTTGGTGAAAAGCAAACACAGCAAACCAGCACAAACACCTCAATCCACCTGCCAAGTGGGGTGATGGACAGGTCATGATTTGGCTCTTCTTTTGGAGCCACAGTAAGGTTGTCACATTGGCCCAAACTAATGCACCAAGAGTGAAATGAAGCTGAGGCAAACTGAAGTGGACAGAGTGCAGATGATGCAAGAGAATTTTTAATCATTCTCTGCTGTGACTCCACTTTAAATCTAAATGAGGTGATGGAGGAATCCATCCTTTAGAGCTATGCTGTATCCTCCGGTTTGCGTATTTTTGGAGAATGATTCATCCTGAAGCAGATTAATGAGCCTCAAACCCACCTCGGAGCTTTGAAAGGGGGAGCTGGTTTTCAGTGGACTTTCCTCCACAGCCACCTGACCTTAACCCCACTGGATATTCAGGAGGAAGCCAAACAGAGAAACAGTGGTGGGAACTGAGGATGAGCCGATATCTCTCTGTCACAGACAGACACACACACACACACACACACACACACACACACACACACACACACACACACAGAGCTCTCTAATTGAAACACGCCCCTCTGCTCCTCTGAGTTGTCCTGTTGTTATTGCCATCTCCCTCAGGGCCGTCCGATTGGGTGAGATGTTTATCAGTCATCTCCTCAACTCATCATGGCCTTGTTACAGTGGCACAGTGACAGTCTACTCCGCCCCATCACCCCAACCCCCCTGCTCCCCAACACACAGACGCACACACACACAGACGCACACACACACAGACGCACAGACGCACACACACACAGACGCACACACACACACACCTCCACAGTGAGTTCAGGTGCTTTGCTGTGTTAGAGCACTAATAATGCTGCAACAAAATTTGACATTGAACTTAATTTAAATAATTTTTTTAAAAGAAAAAAACATCACATGTTACAATATAACAACAAGAATGTTTACTTATGCACTGTTACTTTCAAAACATATTTATTTTCCTTAGAAAGAATGAATCATTTATATTTACACACAATAACAGAATTATGTCAGAACAAAATGACCATGTTAGATATTACGATCCCCTAAAACCTGTTTATCGAGCTATATCCAGAGCACAAACCTCTGCTGTGCAATGATGTGCAAACTTTATAAAGATCAAAGGTTGTAAAATCATGTGAAAACTGAGAGTTAACTTCCAGTTTATGCACAATAGGAAAACCCAAGCTTCATCAGAAAACCCGTCCATCCATTCTCGTCTCCGTTTCGGGGTCGTGGGGGTCTGGAGCCTATCCCAGCTGTCTTAGCCAGTCTGTTGCAGAGCTAACACACACAGACAGACAACCATTCACATTCCACCTACTGGCAATTTAGAATTACCAGTTAGCCTAACCCCACTCACTGCATGTCTTTGGACTGTGGGGAAGCCAGAGTGCCCAGTAGTGATGGGATTTCCAGCTCTTTTTAGAGAACTGGCTCTTTTGGCTCCGAACCGGCTCTTCAGGTTGTTTTGTTGCTTTAATTAATTTATTATTAACAATAATATAAAATTATGCACAAAAGGAATTACTAACATTAAAAAAAAGTGGTTTTATTTATATATGTTTATACATAAATATATGCGGTGGCCCCTAGAGACAAAACACGTACAAACTCCAAAACACATTTCTAGCATGAACTGAACTTCCAAAACAGGATCACCTAAATTACACAATTGAAATCATGAAAGCATGTGTGTATTGTTTGTGTATTTATACACAAGCATTCATATATAGTCAAATAATAAAAAAAAAAAAAAGTTCATTTACCTGTTACTACCACACACCAAATCTGGTCGTTGGTACTTGCTGGCTTGTGTAGCCACAAGATAACAAAAGCTCAACACTGCCCCCTAGCATCCTGGAGCACTTCTTTTGTCTTTTGTACGTGTTTTGAGTTTGTATGTGCTTTGTCTGTAGGGGCCACCGTAAATATACTTTTATTTATTCACTCCACATAAAATGTAATAAATAAATCATATAATACAAAAAACAACTATTCACATTTACACCTTTTAACTTTTAACTATTTAAATTTTCAGCTTTTTCCTTTTACAAATTTAAAGTGAAACAACACAAAACACTGCAAACCACAACACAATTAAATATAAATTATAATATGAAAACAAAAAGAAGATGCATATTCTCTGTCATATGGACCTGCATGAATAAACTTTCTGAATCCTTTATCATCTGCAACTGAAAATAGTTGTGGATGACTACTATACCTTTCTAATGTTGTTGTCCCTGGCTCTCTTTCTCTCCCTCCCACTCTGTTCCTGTGCTACTGCGAGTGTAACTACCGCCCCTCCCCCCTCTGCCCAGCGTAAAGCACAAGGCTCACGTGCAGAGTGAAGCGGAAAAAAGTGCGAGAGAGAGAGAAAAAACCCCACGGCTCGCGATAAGGAGCCGGCTCGCGTCGTTCAAGTCAAAGACCCGGCTCTAAGAGCCATTTCGTTCACGACCGACCCATCACTAGTACCCAGAGAGAAGATGCAAACTCCACAGAGAAAGGCCCCGGCCATACAGTGGAATTGAACTTACCACCTTCTTGCTGTGAAGCAACAATGCTAACCACTGCTGCCTCTTGAGAAAACATCATGCAGAAAAAACCCAACAGTAATCAGTTTAGATTTGAAAAACAGAATTGTTGATGGTCACAAAGCAGCAGATGGATATACCAAGTTATCACAGCATTTCTGTTAGAGGCATCGTCAAGGAGCTCACATCGGCCCTCACAGTGCAGAGCAAGTGTGGCAGAAGCAGGAAGAGAAAATTTCAAAGACTCTGGAAAGAAAACTAGTGAGCAATGTGTCTAAAGACCCCAGACCTCCACTTCTGCAAAAGAGACACCCTTAAGTCAGACTGAAGTATGCCGAGGACTTCTTGGACAAAGACTATATGAGTATGTGATGATATCAGTTTATTGCAGCTCTTCACTCAATCATCAGGTGCAAATTTAGAAAAAAATAAATGAAGAATTTATGATAGTCTTGCACGAGTGAATCAGCAGGTTGTCATTAATGAAGAGGAAAAGCATCAGTTTCTCTGTATTTTTATTTCTCTGTATTCAGATATGAGCATCACACCTGCGCATCATCACAGATTTCATCAGTAGACAAAAAGACATTTTTATTAACATTAAAATCACCAAAGGTTCCTCATGAAAGAACCTGAATCTGGTTACTGGTTCTTCTGCTTCATGGCAGAACATCACCCTGAATATCAAACATAAAACACAAACAACATGGAAAGCACACGTCTAATAACACTGATACATGTGAATATCACATGAACTTTTTTCATTAGTGAATTACTAAATGCAGAATAATTCATATTTATGGATAATTCCATGTGTGCTTTTAAAGCTACCAGCCATCACTCTGTGCTTTTATTTAGCTACACTAACATCTCAATCATGTATTAAATGGCCTTTAAAATCCACATTTCCCTTTCACTCTGTTCACCTCACTGAGGAAGAATATCATCAGTTTAACCCAAAACATTTACAATATGAACAGATGTTCCCAATGCCAGTACGTCTGACCTGTAATCATTTATTCATGAAGATCAATAATTCATCTGTCTGCTGCATGAAGTGTCGTGTATCATTTTTGTGATTTTCTAAAACCAGTCAGAAATAATGCAGAGGCATTGTCTGACAAAAAGCTTGTAAACGACGAAGGTTTCTGTCTTGTTAGTGTTCCCTGTTTACATCTTTGTGTTTGAGCCTGAATCAGCTGACTGACGACAAACAGCAGAACTGGAGCACAGGAGCATCAGTCTGACCCCAGACTGCAGGGGCCTTCACATCTGGAGTGATGAAACAGTCTCAGCTGATCTCTGCTCGACCTGCTCAGCTGTACCTGCTGGTACTGGAGCTGCCTCTGCTCCCCCATCAGCCCATCAGAGTCTCCCTCTGATGAACTCTCGCAGGTGGAGTTAGGTGATGGTGTCCCCTGCAGTCTGTCCTCCTCCAGCCTCACAGCCTGGCTCTGTGGGGCCCCGCTGAGGTCTTGCTCAGTCAGTAGATGGTCCAGAAAGCTGATGTACCTGAGGGCGAGGCGTAGGATCTCGTTCTTGCTGAGCTTCCTGTCTGGGGGGTGGGTGGGTATGAGACGTCGCAGCTCTGCGAATGCACCATTCACGTTCTGCTGGCGCCATCGTTCTCGACTGTTGGTGAAAATCCGACGTACCACTCTGGGACGGGTACCTGAGGGGAGAGCAAAGAAGGATCAGCTGGAGAACCACATCTAAGGATGTAAGGTTGGGTACAAAGTAGCTGAGTGACCCTCAACTGGTGACAGCACAAGCATGTGCAGTGACAAAAAAACAACTGTTTTGTTCTAGTAGGAAAAATCTAATAAAAGAACCAAATAAATAAAAGAGACAGAAGTGAAGGAAACAGAGACGAACACCTGACAAAGACTGACTCACACTAAACACACAACATGAAGACAAGGATTACAAAATACAGGTGAAGTCAGAAAAGAACGAAGAAGGGAAGTGGAAAAAAACTGAAAGCTGCATGAATTGGAGAGGGAGAAACAGTGAGACAAACAGAGGAAAGACGGGAAGCAAAGAAGAGAGAATCTTCAAAAACACAAGGACAAGGATTCACAACTGAAACCACTGAACAGAGGAGAGAACACGACACCTTAAACAGAACCACGTGAAGAAGAAACACAATCTCACTCTGTCTGTAAAACATCTTTTTATGCAGCATCATCGTCAAGGTTTTATCTTTAATAGAAAGGAAAACTGCGAAGCTTTTTACAAATTAAAACAGCCCTCTTTCATCTTATAGGATACTTGTCTGATTTATTTATAATTTACGGTTGAAAACAGCTGCTAGTATTGATAACCACTTATAACTGATAAGTGGACCTTTTGAATGTGATATTATTTTTCTTAAATGCTGAATTAAGTAAAGTTTAATGCTGCTAAGATGTCTTTTGTCAGCTCTATAGAAGAGCACACTAACCTGCGTGTCTCCATATCTGGTGATGCAGTGAACTCACCCTCAGTGAGGTTCCTCTCACACGGAGCCGCTCTGAGCTTCAGGGCGATGCGTGGATCTGGATCACTGCACACAGACACACAGACACGTTGGTGAGGAGCAGAAAAATCCTCCTTGGTGATGAATTATGGAAACTCATATTTTATTTTAAAAATGGTTTCAATAGAATGCAGATGCCAGCAACATGCTGAAACAAATGCACCATAATCGTTATAATGGCGTTCTCCCTGTCTTGTAAAACTGTAAATACCGCAGATCAAAAAGCCAATAACAGGTAATAACTGCGGCTTATGTAAAACAAGCAGCTTTTTAGTGCAAACACATTGACTGTTGTAAACTCCAACATCTATTAATCTTTACAGTAACAAAAATGGTTGTTTTAAGCCGTTTACAGTTCATTAATAAACGCCGGTCTCACCTGCGGAAGGTGTGGAGGTCCTGGACATCTTCGTGCAGCATGTCTCTTGCGAACAGAAGCAGCAGAAGTGAAGGAGACTGGTGGCTAATCGGGGTTCAATTGGCAGTTCGGGCTCCGTTGACCTTCCCTCGGCTCTGTGGAGAGTCAGTGTCGGTCGCCTCTTTTTATATCCACGGACCCTCCCACCCCCACCTCCCCGTGTCCCGGCGCGTCGTTTCCTCGGAGCCCCCTTTGATAAAGACAGTCCCATTAAAGTCATTAAACCCAGGGTCCCAGGAAGCAGCTCTCCAGGGACCTGCAGGGTCCTTGGTCCGCCTCCCCCCTCCCCCCCTCTGTAGGAGTCGTGTTTTCCTCCGTCACGACTCCACAGCCTTCGGCGCCACCGCTGCCAGCCGGACCCAATACGCACAGACCATCAAGGCTGGTCCTGTGCTAAAACTTCTCAGTGACTGAAACACTAACTGAAGTAGCCTACGTATTGAAGTAAAACCAAACATGCCACATATGATTCATCGCCATATGACTGTTTCTGTTTAAACTGTCTTTTCTTGGCAGCTCTGGGGGTTTCTCGCTTTTGTTTGCGGGGTTAAAAAAACTGAAAGTCTCAGACTTGTTGTTGAGTAGCTTTGATGCGCCTCTCAGGTGAGCCGAAATTTTAAGGGGAATTTTTATTTTATTTATACACTCCTCGGAAGTTCTATCTGTTCACATTTCTGCACCAAAATACGTTTACAGCTATTATAGGACACGTCAGTAAGAGGGAAACGGCACGATTTAATAATATTAAGAAGACTTAATGAAATGCTGGTAAACTGGGATTTTGTTTTAATCTTTGCCAAGCAGGACAACTTAAAAATCAGAGACAAAGGAGAAAAACATGCTAAATGCTCACACTGAGCCATGTTGTCCAAGGTCAGTTACAAACAGGAATATAACGTCTTCAATAGCATCAGCCTATAAAAGTAAAAATGTAACTGTTTTCATTATTGATTTATTGATCGATCAGTTTCTGTACGTGGCTAGACTGCGCAATGGGAATTAAATTCAAATTCAAATTCAAATTCAAATTTTATTTGTCACGTACACAGTCATACACAGTACGATATGTAGTGAAATGCTTGGACAACTGCTCGTGACCTAAAGAAAACAAAAAATGAAAAGGCTATGAATAAGATAGGAAATAAATATGAAAAATTAAAAAGGGTAAATTTAACTAGGAAGGAATAAAATATAAATTAAAGTTGAAAATAAAATAACTGTACAACAAAATACACAATACACAATATAGAACTATATAAGAATGTATGAAGAAATCTAAATATAAATAAATATATACACAATAACAGCAGCTGTACAAGTATTAACCGGAAATGAAGAATATAGTGACCAGTGTTGTGCAAAACCAAAGTCCAGAAAGTCCAGTGTGTGTGTAAGAACTGTATGTGTGGGTCAGTACTGTGTGGTGTGTGATTGAGAGACCGTATCGCCTGCGGGAAGAAGCTCCTCCTCAGTCTCTCTGTGTTGGTCTTCAGGGAGCGGAATCGCTTTCCTGACCTCAGCAGAGAGAACAGTCTGTTGTTGGGATGGCTGAGGTCCTTCTTATTGGTGGTTGTTAAACTTCTATCAATCGCCTTTTACTTAATTATCTTATAATTTGTATTTATGACTCGTGTGCAGCCGGAAGCGTTGCAGGTGTCGTGTGGTTCCAGCTGAGCAGTTCACTCACGAGCTGTTAGACTCGTCTATCTGATGTTTGACGCCATCAAACGGCCGCTTCGCTTTCCGTTAAACGTCTCTACCTGCGCCCAGGGGTGCCCAACTCCAGGCCTCGAGTTCCGGTGTCCTGCAGGCTTCAGATGTGTCCTTGATCCACTACAGCTGATATAAATTACCAAATGACCTTCTCAACAGGTCTTGAATTTCTTCAGAGGCCTGGTAATGAACTAATCGTTTGATTCAGGTGTGTTGACCCAGAGTGAGATCTAAAACCTGCAGGACACCGGCACTCGAGGCCTGGAGTTGGACACCCCTGCCTGCGCCGGAGGCTGCGAGGTGTTCAGACAGACAGGTGAGGAGATGTCTGCAGTCAGGGAGGTGACAAAGTTAGGCTGAGCCACAGACACACGGCAGTGAGACTCGTGATTAAAAACCTGCACGAGTTACATCCTTAACTATCCACAAACATTAGTGATTAATGACCATCGTAGATTAAAACGCTTAATGAGGACTATTGCAAACAATGTGCTTTTATTTTTTATGGTGTTTATTTTCATTAAAGTTTGTAGAGTTGATGTGGAGGTTAAATAAAATCAGCTGTTTGAATCTCTCTAATTGTCTGTGATGATGTTGACGTGGTTTTTGTTTTGTCCTTTATTACTTCCATTATAAATCTCAACTTCTTCCTTTATGGAAGAAAGTTTATTTTTATGATGCTTTTTCTGGTTTCAGTTCACATAAATTAATCTGTGTTACTTCTGGTCTGTGATATTTAATTGAGTGAAATAAAACGTATCAAATGCAACTAAACAGGAATCCCGTTCATCATAATGATGACATCTACTGTTTGCTGATAACTCGTATAAATGAAGTCATCTCGTTTCAGAGGCGGAAATTTACTGAGCCACAGGAACAGCTTCAGAAACTGATTCAGGACTTTGAGCATATCGTTTCTTTATCTGGCTTCTCTTAGTCTAATATTACCAATCACATGAAACTGGTTATGAAATTGATTAGTCGTAAGTAACCCACAGCGCCTACACACTGTCACATGAGCTGGCGCGAGGTCCCTCTCCTGATTCGCTGCGTCCCCGCCGCGGCAAAGATGCCTTGAGTTCGGCTGCGCTGTCTGTTATTTAACTGCCTTCCGTCGTGCAGTTTCCGTATTTGTTTGAAGTGTACAGATGAAGCTATGGATGAAATATTGTACTGTTATGAAATGTGACAATGCAATGATCAGATTCACGCTATAGAAGTGTGGAATCATTGTATATTAAACTGAATTCAAATCGAAATGGACATTTTCTGTCCCTGCAGGTCAGATGTGTTTGTTGTTGTGCTTCTTCATATTCACCCCCCCCTTCATCCTGTCTTTGGATTACGGACGTATTTTTTTCCCGTCGTGAAACTGAGCCCTAAAGAGGAACTCCTGAAAACTGACCTTCAAAAGGAAATGAACAGGCATTTAAAAGTCTTCTGCACAGCGATTGCAAGCAGTGAAATTAATTGTGGTACATGTATTTATCCATGTTGTGTTTTGTATTTGTTTTGTTCCACTTCCGCTTTTTCCCAATTTGTTCAATATATTTTTGGTTTTCTTTGACAGATTTTCTGTGTCTGGTCTCATCATTCACACCACCTGGGCTCCATTCTGTGCATCAGTCAGTTACATCCACCCGCTGCATATATAGCTGGACTGGTGCTTTTTCGTTTTTATGGGCCGATGTTTTGTTGTTTGTTTGTTTTGGGGTCTTTTTTGTAACGGCATAAACAATGAAAGGTGGTGGATTGGCTAATTGGTCATGATCGACTCTGGGCTGGATAGATTACAGCCGATGAGGTCGAACTTTGAAGTTTCGCATTGAGCTCAAAAGGAGCAGTTTGTCCCGGACTTCAGCTGGAATAGAAAAAGACACAAAGCTGCAGTTATTCTGTCTTTGCGCTGCAGCTGCCTCCTCTCCTCTCCTCTCATCCTGTTTCTACTTCAATCATGAAACTGATCAATGATCAGCTGATCGCTTTTCTCTTGTTTGTTTATCGCCCACTTTGCGCCAGAAAGAGGAAACCAGCGGATGTCGCGCTAAACAACAGCAGCACCTTTAAGCTTGATCAGCTGTTGTTAGAATTGATTTAATATTAATTTCTAGTATCAGCTGATGTTTGCTGGAGCCACAGCTGTAAAGCTGCTGGTCATGATGTCATGCTCAAAAATGTTTTGTCTCACTCTCATTTCTTCTTGTTGCGTGTTTAAGCTCTACTTGGAACCTTGTTAAGATCCAACCATGCAAAATCTGATCTATTTATTAATGTTTTTGTTGCCATTTTTCAAGTGGTCTTTAATGTTTGATCAGGACTGAATCAAATTTGATGTGTAACAGCGCCATGTTGTGGCCAAAGAGAGTAGAAAAGAACTACCATTGATGATCAGGTGAAACAGAAGTTAAAGACAGTAGTTATGGACACTAAAAATGAATTAAGCATTTGTTTTATTACCACGATGGTCAAAGGGGAAGAAGAGTGAGCTATCAGCTGGGCAGTGGTGGATAAAATTTGGCCAGTTTTAACCCAAAGCCCACAACACAAACGCACATACCTGTAAGAATGACACAAACAAACCTAAACAACTGTGCAAAACAGCACCAATAAAAAGGTCAAAAAAATAAATTTGACACAAACCTGTAAATAAATAAAATCTGTAAAATATATACATCTTTTAGGCTTTTCCAGAAAGTTAAAAAATAAAAGAAGCGTTGGCTTAAAATAGGCTGGTTGCCAATAAGTGTTATGAAACTGAGTTCAGATTCACTCTGCAGAGGCGACAGATGTGTCACAGTCCAAACACACCACAGTGTGAGTCCGAAGAAGCTTTTCTCTGAGTGAACGCAGTGCGCGTCTGAGGTTGTAAGTGAGTAATTATATATCAGAAATAATAATATATTTAAAAACAGCAACAACAACAAAACCCACTAGTATGTATTGTAAGTGTCACCTGGCAGTTCGCTGGTGATTGGCAGAGTGGGTGCGTGGGGTGAGGTCGGCGCTCTTCTGTGGAAAAATCCAGAGGCGATTAACGTGTATTGTTCGGTAAGAGACTTTTGCCATTTCGTTTGGATCACTTATTGTTGTAGGTGCCGATTTTTAATGCGTGTTGTTGGACTTTTTTAGTGTGACCACGAGTTTTAATGGAGGAATTGATCGACTGCGCGCAGGGAAACCGATCGTTGGTATATTTGTTTGTTTTAGTTCTGTGATTTTTGAATGGTTTAATAAAACGGATATTTTATTTGGTAACATTTTAAACCATAATGTTGTTTTTCAGCTGTTGTTGTGCTGCCTCATCTGTCCTTTTGTCGTTCTTTTCATTGATTTGTAATTTTGTTTTGGTCCGTGCAGCCTTAAAGGCGGTTAATGCTTGAGAGTGAGCCGTGTGAGGACTAACCTCTCTTTTTGTTTGTGCCACTTCCTTTAACATCAACACATAGCGCTGATTCCCAGCTGTGCTGAGACCTGGATTGTTTGCCTTCT